AACAAAAAATTTTCCGTTGTAATAAATTTTATAGAGAACAAAAACAAAAAAGCAAAAAACAAAAAAGTGATTGACCGTCTAAATGACTGCGATTGCTGACTGTAACGATTGCAAAAAAAAAATTCGTTTAAAGATTCCGACTAAAAAACAACAGATTAATAGTATATAAAATTTAGGGTAAACAGAAACAAAACAATTCTTTTTAGTGCTTAAATAGGTGAAATGCATAGCCACTGAAAGTAAGGCAAATTATGTAATTGTTTTAAAAAAAAGTTTTCTGTAGACTTAAATTTTATAAGTTTTATAAAAATTACGCTGCTTTGTTTTTTTTTTTTTATAAATTTAAAAGCTTTTTGAAAACTAATTCTTGGCAAGTGTCGTACACACAACTGTTTCAAAATAACTGAACAACTCAGAACTATCAGAAAACAAATAACGTTCCATAAACAACATAAAAATGTCATATCAGTTTGGCGATTCAATACATACCTTTTACAGCCATTCCCATGCCCCTTTCTCCTCCTACTTTGTTTCCCTCTCTCCCCATCTCCTCATCCCTTTCTGTCTCTTGTCACCCTGTTCACCTTTCCATCTATTAAGAATCTATTGATAGACACAAAAATGAGAGAAAAAAAATGTAGTTTATAAAGCATCAGAGAAAAATAAAAATATACTTTTATTTCATTATCGCCTTCTAATAGCTGTAATAAACACCAAAGGTACATCACTGACCATGAAATTATCACTGTATCATTGTTACAGCGTTTCTCAGAAACGTTAAGCAACAGGAAAAAAAAGTTTTAGGATAAATTAGGCTTCAATAGAATCAAAATACAAATACTCTGCATCTTTCAGCGCTCAATCACTTAAAGAAATAAAAATCTAAAGATAAAAAAATAAAATAAAATAAAATGGAATAAAATAATGAAAGCAATAACAAGCAAATATGTATGATAACAAACGGCAGTTAAAACTACTAACTAAATAACTGTATAAGCAAATAAAGTTTGAAAAAAGTAGAACAAGAATTCTCAATTATAAACAAGAACAAAAAAAATATAATTGTTTTTGTCTTTTGTTCTTTCCATAGATACTATAATAATACCAGTTTACAAAGAAAAAAAATTAAAGCCGTTGACAAGGATACAGCAGAACATGAAAAAGCAAAAGCACAAAAATATTTGCTCGATGATCGAAGAGAACAAAGCAAAAACTGAACTTCATCAACAAGGTAAACTAGTCTTAGTTTTCTTGCTGTCCACACATAAAGCATTTCAAAAGCTCACAGTAATAACTTTTTTTACCGCTTGTTTTCCGTTGCTCAAACAACAACTGCATTTTTTCAACTTTTGCGTTTAACTTTCGCTTCCTTTTCTTCTTCCTCTTCTTTTTCCTGCTCATTTTAACCCTATTGACAGATCATCAACAGAAGTGAATAGCAAAAGAAAGAAAATAGAAACTACAAATTCTGCTCTTACAACAGCTGTAAAGCTTTACAGCCGAGAGTATGTTCAACTGAGATAATTAGACCCTAAAAAATTTACTACAGAAACGTTCATTGTTACAAAGAAGTCAGCAAAAAACCTTTTACATGTACAAATGAACAAATATTTCGACCGTTGTAATAATTAAGCAATAATGTTAAAATTTAATATTACTTTTAATCTTTAATACGGTACCCGGAGAAAAAGTACATATATATATATATATATATATATATATATA